CCTTGCTGATCCTTCCCAGTACCGGCGCTTGGTTGGTCGTTTACTGTATCTTACGATTACTCGTCCAGATATTACATATGCCGTGAACATCCTCAGTCGGTTTGTTCATGCGCCCAGTCAGCAGCATCTAGATGCAGCTCATCGCGTTCTTCGCTACCTGAAGTCTAGCCCCGGGCAAGGTATTTTCTTTCCATCTAATAATCCTCTTCAGCTGACTGCCTACTGTGATGCAGACTGGGGAGGTTGTCAAAGTACTCGGCGTTCGACGACTGGTTACTTTATCACTTTAGGTGCTGCCCCCATTTCCTGGCGTACCAAACAGCAGAAGGTTGTGGCCCGTTCTTCGGCCAAAGCCGAGTATCGTGCCATGGCAACTACAGTTAGTGAGCTTCTATGGCTCCGGTGGCTACTTAGTGAACTTGGCGTCCCTCAACCTCGTCCGACGCCGCTACATTGTGACAACCAAGCCGCCATTCATATCGCGAACAATCCTGTGTTTCATGAGCGCACCAAGCATGTGGAGATGGATTGCTTCTTCGTTCGAGAACGTGTTCAAGCTGGTCACGTCCTTCCCGTGAAGGTACGGTCCGAATTTCAGCTTGCTGATCTCTTCACCAAAGGCCTTGGTGCCGATCGTTTTCGATTCCTTCTCTCCAAGCTGCACGTTCGAGACCTTCACGCTCCAGCTTGCGGGGGAGTATTGGGCCGGGATGATGTTGCTTGTGCGTCAAAGCCCGAGAGCCCTCAACGAGAGCATGCAGCCCATGCAGTCACGAAGCGGGCTGTAGATTCTGCTCCGTGTAATTCTCGTACTCAACATGTAACCCTAGATGATGATGGTGTAATAGGGACTACATATATGGCTGGCTTGGTGCCGCCGCACTAATTAATAAGAAAAGAAGGAGCTTCCCGTGGATGTAAGCCTCACATAACGTGAGGAAGAACCACGTAAATCAAAGTGCATATCTAATTTCCGTATAATTTCACATAGTGCATAAGGATTTAGTGTCCTCTGGTGGCCTGAATGAGCTAGCACTTGAACTTCGGAATGAAGGTACTGATGGAATACTGTTTACAGCCTCTTCTGGGTTTTAGGTCGTCCTGTAAGTTATAGTCATTAAACCTATTCATTGCGAGATGTTTCTGTAATTCAGGTGTGGTTCTGCATGGTGGGCCAAGGGCAAGCGAGGAGCTGAGCATCCCAGAGCCGGCATCATTACATCATGAGTACAGTTCCCTTGCATGTACTGTTGAGATTGTTGACGATGTGCATGCTGCCATTGATTACATGGACACGGAAGGCAAGATTTTAATTGATTTTGTGTATACAAGTTCTTCTGACATTTCATACCGAATTTGTCTGCTGATGTTTGCTCGTCTTGTTGACAGTGCCCATACTGATTGCATCATATCAGAAGACCGTGAAGTTGCAGAGACTTTTTGAGACAAGTTGACAGGTAACTAGCCCACATAGACAATATTATGGTTTTGTCTCAAATCATTGTTGCTTCAGTTTTATAATCATTGACATTGCAATGCCGGTTCTTCTTTTTACCCAATGCAGTGCTGCTGTTTTCCACAATGCCAGCACAAGGTTCTGTGATGGAGCTCGGTTTGGACTTGGGGCAGAGGTCAATAACTCAAATGTCAATCTTATATATGCATCTTTAACTAAGATTGCGTTATGCTTATTACTGGATTTTTCTTGATGGATGGGGTAAACAGGTTGGAATCAGTACGAGTAGAATCCATGCTCGAGGCCCTGTAGGAGTCGAAGGATTGTTAACAACCCGATGGTAATACCCGACACTCCAATCTCCTTTCATCCCCTGCCCACATGTTTCATTCCATTTTTAGTTTTCCTGGAAAGGAAGTTCCTTTTTATGCAGAACAAAGAAGGACCCTTTTCTTTTCCTGAACAAGCTGCCCTATTGCTCTACGTTGCATTTGCAGGTTACTGAGAGGCAGTGGACAAATAGTAGATGGTGATAAGGGTGTAACCTACACCCACAAGGACTTAACTACTGTATAGCTTTCCAAGCATCATCACCAGAGGAAGAAGATTGAGCACTTTGTTTGCCATCTTAGTGCGGGTTTAATAAAACATATCATCATCATTAGGGGGTGTTTATTATTATTGTTAGGGTGCCCTGTAATCTCTGCCATGACCTTATGTTACTGAATAAGTTCTCCATTCTCTTCTAAGTTACTATTGTTGGAAGCGTTAAGTTATTGTGGCGAAAGATTTAAGTTATGTGGGGCCTCTTCCGATCCATGACCAGTTTGTAGGCTGGGCAGATTTGGGAACGTGGAGTTTGGGATCTTTTGAGTGTCTCTTTTGGCCCCCATACTAGTAGTTAGGAAAGCTCATTGTAATGCAGTTGGATATTTGAAGGTTTAACATTTTCTGTTGTCATCTCTTTCTTAAGCTGCAGGCTTCTTCTGTTAGGGCTGATATTGAGGTTAAATAAAGATTTGTCATATGTGATATGCGTTGTAAATGATTGTGCCCTAAGTTCTGAGCCTGGTGGGTTTCTAACAAAGCATTTTTCTAATTGATATTGCATAGAAGTAGGACTAGGAAATTAGACCAGATCGTTTGAAAATTCGTGGACTAAATTAGACCGCATAATTTGGTCAGGATCGTAGACTGTAAAGAATGGTCTGGTCCATGGTATGTATTATATGAAATTTTGATCTCTTGGTCTGGTCTGGTCTAGACCGCGGTTTACCAGACCAAACTATGGATCTAGTCGACTTCCTAATACATGTTAGTATCCCACTCGACCACTTTCCCAACTTCGCCAACGAGACTCAAGTCTCAACCTTAATTTTGAGAATCTCTTCTCCTCCTTCACTGCAACCACATTTCACTAGAGAATAAAGACGATTGTGTCTCTATATGATTATGTTAATGTTTGTGATGTTATGGTGCGAGTTGGGATCTTCGACTTTGTATCTTTATTATTTACTAAGATTTAAGAGTCAAAATTATTCATGCATGTTGGATTTTATGTTTTAAGGCAAAAAAAAAAAAATTTATTTCCTCAATTATTTGTTCTATTTTAGTGTGGATGACTTAACAAAGTGTTTATTTTTTGTTCAATGTAGTCTGTCTGGACCAGACCGTGCAGACGTGGTCTGGTCTGGACCGTATAGTATGTGTTCTGATCTCTGGTCTATACTTTAGTCTCTTGATATGGACCATAGACCGTCTATATGGTCTGATATGGACCAGACCGCACCATTTCCCAGTCCTACATAAAATGGGACCAGTACAAAGTGTTGCAGAAGATATTAAGAAATGTACAAGAGATTATAAACAGAGTATCTAGAAAAATCTGATAAGAAGCTATACATGATCAACCTAAGGCTTGTCACTACTCATTAGGGGTGGGCAATGGGCGGGTTGGATGGATTTTGGTCTAAAATTGACTCACCTGCTTACTAGCGGGTTGGAATACATGTGACCCACAATCCACCCACATACTTATGCGGGGTGGGTTGGGTGGGTGGCGGATGAGTGCGGTAGGATCGCGGGTTAACCGGCAAAAGCAATTCTCCAACTAGCCATTAAGAAAATTGACTAACATTTATAATAAATTCATAGCAAATTAGTAAGTTTGTATCAATAATTTGTGATTTTGATATGGTTAATAATTTGTAGTTTGTATCTCAATATTTAATGGATATTAACAATAATTTGTATACCAATATCCAATGGATATCGCACAACACAATAACCAATAATAGTAGTCAAAACTATTATTTATTCTCCAACTTTTGAAGTATATGGTCAGACTATAGTGCAGTTCGAAAATATGATGAATATTTGATACTATAAGAAATAATATTTTTCCTTGTAAAAATAGGACGCGGGTCATACGGATGACCCGCAATCCACCCACATAAGTGCGGGTGGGAGATTTAACAATCCGCAATCCACCCACATCAATCAGCCACTGTATGCGGGTCGGGTTATTTGCGGTTGGATCGATATCAATCCGCGGATTAATCACTACTCAAGTCAAGTCATCAAGTGGATCCGTTCGAACCCAAAATTAAAAGTTACATGATGGATCTACTTTTGGATGTCCAATAGATGAGTGACAATTGAAATAGCAGTTAGTGGAGGGGAAATAAGTGTTAGGTATCACCAAAAATCGAGCACTTCATTACTGAGTTGTTTTTATTGTCATGGTGCATCTTTTTTCCCCCCTGAAAGATTCAAGGGTACAAACAAGTTTACAATGGTGCAATTAAATCATCAATAATAATAATTCACTCCACTGGTAAACAGTCATTACGAGCAGAACAAACTATTTTCGTTTGAAATGCGGATTATCAATAGCCTTCTCAGATCCTACAACTACTTTTGGCAACAAAGCAAATGCAAAATTAAAACAGAAAACATAAGCAGAAGAACAAAACAATTGTGACGACAACCTTAAAACCTAAAAGTCCTAAATCATAACCCATTTTATTAATAATCAATGTGTCGAGTTCCAATAAATAAATGTATAATCGGGCGGGTTCGGGTTGGATAGTGAGAAAACCATGCCCACCCGCAATATTCGGGTTCTGGTTTTACCCGTACCCACTAAAAGCTCTTCGGGTTTGGGTTTTACCCTACCCGATTAGGTTGGATTCGGGCGGATATCCACGGTTACGGATATTTTTGCCATCCCTACTTTTTGGTTCAAAAGACCAATTTTGGAACCCGATCACCAACACGTCATTATATCGTAATAATTCGTATGAGGGTAGGTAAAAAAAATTCATGATTGTGATATAATAATGCAGGCATAATAATATTATAGATATCACCTATTTTAGATATATTTGTTTAGTTGATAAATAAAATGGTATTCCCAACAGATTACACGCCATAATTTATGATGACCACTAGAGGTGGAAATTGGGGTGGGTGTGGTTACCCGCCCCACATTTTGCGGGTAACTACACCCACAAATATAGAATTATGTTACCCACAATCCGCCCCGCAGTGGATAGTGGTTAACCACTACCCGCTGCTGGTTGGTGCGGGTTGGTTGTGGATACCCACAAAAATTTCACATTAAATATAATAATAATGTAATTAAATAGTGATGTTGTATTTCTTCTCACACAAAAACAAAAACATACATAAAAGAAAGTTAATAAAGTGTAAAATAAATTATAAATCTCGAATACAATAGGTTAGTTAGTGTAAATTCAGAAGAGATGGATTTGGAAAGAGATTTGAAATAACGGAGAGGCGAAGTGATATTTTACCAGACTAACATCATTGCATGTCACGGCTCCTCCGATGGCAAGAACAGCAAAACACAAAAGTGGCTCGATAAGTGGAGGCGCCCGCTTTTAATGAATTGATTATTCTCCATTTTCGATTATAGTCTTGTGTTGTTGGTAGTTGGTTGCATGTTGTGTTGTTCGTGAGTTCGTGGAGAAATGGAGATGAGTTTGGGTATGTGACTAACATTTATCGATTATTCCCCTCTTTTAACGAATCGATTAATTTATCTGACTATATCTATGGACTTGGATTTGTTATAAAATAAACATATAACACAGGGACACTGCTTATATAATAAAAGTATCTCACATGAACATTGCGTAGTGTTTTGATTTTGTTTTATAGAATAAGTGCATATTTGATTTTGGTAGCTACTTTAATTCTTAGTCTTCCAAGTTTCACAAACTAATATAACTAATTGGTTAATGCGGGTTACAAAGTATTCTGAAGAAATAAATATAACTAATGTGGGTTTTGTGGATAAACCGCCATGGGTAGTGGTTAACCACTAACCACAAAAATCAATATTTTGCTACCCACTATCCACAAATTGTGGGTATGGGTATCCACAAAGTGTGCGATTTGCGGGTTACTGACAACCCGCAAACCAAACTTCCACCCCTAATGACCACCACCAATTGCGGGTTGGTTGGTGAGATAATAACGCATGCAAGATATTATTAACCTAAACCTATATTGGGAAAGGGAAATTAATAACGTGGTGTGTATTGTTTTGGAACAAATTTCCATATTTTATTTATAGCCTAGACCTAGCAAACCGGCATTCGAGGCGGTATTCAGCCGTTCAATACTCCATAGCCAACTATTTTATTCAATACTTGTCTCCTTTACAAAGAAAACAATTTATTTCCTCTTGCTATATGAGAAGTCTCTTGTTCACCCCAAAACAAACGCCTCACCCAAATTGCTTCTTTCTTCATGGCCTCTACAAATTCCATACCGGAGTCCCTGTGTTGCACGATCAAAACTCATCAGGTGGCGACCTATTTTCACTGCTTGTTTAATTTCTTGTTTATCATATACAACAATTTTCTAACTGCTACTGTTTTGCTTTATTTTCAGGTCAAAGGATGGGGGTTCATAATCTTCCCGAGAAATGGTCTAGCATTTGGTGGCGACGAACCCAATGGGCCTAATGGGTTTTACCTATTGGATGGAGTGGAGGGGCCTGGGACGGAGACAGCAGCAAAATTAGGCCCTTCAGCCCAAGATACAGGTTACCCTCCCGGGGAGCAGTAATCCCTTCTTCCCCAGATCTCCGCTGCCGAGCCGCAGCCATCGACCATCTGCTCAAACTCTGCTCAGAATCCTCCAACAATGGCGCGATCTTTCTCTGATCTCCCTGGTGATCTTCTCCTCGAGATTATGGGGAAGCTGGAGGTTGATGCGGATCATGTACGGGCCTCCTCCGTCTGCCTTAGCTGGCTCACCGCCGTAGAGACACTCTGTGTCTCTCGTGCGCTAAAGGGCAATCAACCTCTCAAGACAAGTCTCTTCCACAAACCTTCACAGGCCCTGGGAGGAGCTCTCCAGCAATACAGCACCTCCGCTCTCCGTGTTCATGAACTACTTGCCCGAAGGGAGCTCTACACTTTTCCTACGGTTCATAATCAAGCACAACTTGGTGTCAAGAACTTCCAGCTCGTCGGCTCCAGCCTAGGACTTCTATGCGTTATCTCTGGTCTTCGCATCTACCTGTACAACCCATACTTCCGTTGGTTTCGCCAGGTAAATCATCTCCAGCTCCGTTCTAGGATGCTACTATTGAATCTGAGGAATGCCGGCCTAGGTTTGCTCTGGGAACCCGATATTAGCGTATCAGTTAGGGCCTCAGGATTTGGCTTCGACCTAAACTCCCACCAATTCAAGTTTATGAGGGTTTTGGAGTACTTGAACAGCAATTATCAGGTTGTGGAGGTCTATTCAATCGCGTCCGGGGTTGTGCAATCTGCTCCTTGGTCTTTGTTTGACCCCTTGCTCTGTAACCAGAGACTTGCTACTGAGTATAATGGTTCCTTACTCTGGATTTCGGAGTATCATGCCCCTGGGTTGAGGGGAGCTGATCACCTGTCGGGTTTCATCGTCGCGTTCTCCCTTGGCAACCACGTTCTCAGTTGCTGGACTTTGCCAGAACAGCTGCAACGCGGCTTTGAGCTGAATTTGGGACTTCTTCGATCCCAATTGTGCCTTTGTGCCAGAGATGCTTCCAATATCAAGTTATTTCTATTCAATGGCACGCTATGGCAGCCAAGGTGCTCGATTCAACACCCTAACATCATCAACGGCCCATTCGTGCCGCTCGGCATTCCAATCGACGGCTTGATTCTCTTTCAAACGGGGGGAAAACGGTTCACTTTCTATTTCGAAGCCCAACAGCTCCTGATTTGTTGCTCGAACAACAACGAGCTAGGGGGGCATGATCCGATTTTGTGGTCTTCGTTCTTCTGCGGCAGGAGTTTTGTTAGGAGGGTCCCAGGTTTACGTGGTGTTTTCGCTTAGATAGTTTCCACTTGTTGCAGCTATTTTGGACTTGTGTTTAGGGCATACACTATCCTGTAACTGTTTTGTCTCTTCTACTATGACCCAAGTGATGATGGTGGTTATGATATGAACTTGTAACGACGAGCTAGGCGGGCATGATCCGATTTTGTGGTCTTCGTTCTTCTGCTGCAGGAGTTTTCTTAGGAGGGTCCCAGGTTTACGTGTTGTTTTCGCTTAGATAGTTTCCCCTTGTTGCAGCTATTTTGGACTTGTGTTTAGGGCATACACTATCTTGTAACTGTTTTGTCTCTTCTACTATGACCCAAGTGATGATGGCTGTTATGATATGAACTTGTAACTCTGTCTTTATGATAGGCTATGATTTGAACTTGTAACTGCCTATTTATGATAGGCTATCTCCCAACTGTGGGTCTTCGTTTCCAACCGAAAAGACACTGAAGTTTACCTTCTAGCTATACCTCTCAATTATCCAGAAACCTCTAGTAAAATTCAAACTTCTGGAAATAAAAGTCGCAATCAAGCATAAATTCACCAAACCAGTCCATTTACTGATATGAAATACATAATGAATGAGAGTGTCGAGGCAAGCAAAAGAGAGACATTCATCTCGGCCTCCTGTGATGCCTAACTGGTCCCTGCCTGGTAGCAAGGCATATTTGCAGCCTTCTCAAATATTTCAACATGACTTGCTACATAATTTCTCAATTAATCTGTTCTGCAAGGTATGGATCTAACACTTTTGTCCGCTTGTGAAGAATCTCCACTTTTGCTATCTGAATCCGTGCACTTTGGATCTGACATTTTAGCCACCGCCGGTGAAATTGATTTGCATAATGTTTTGACGAAGAGGATTTTTCTATCTGCTCTGCATTTTAGGATCAACACAAGATACAAGGCCTCTGCAGCTTCTGCCTTCATGTAAGTTCACTATCGACATTGAGTTCCCCTTTGAAGATCATACTTTTTCTAACCAATCTGCATGATTTCCAGAGTTCGAATCTGCCGTTTACTTCAATCGAACTGGATCACAGTGATTATGGAAGGGAAGGTTATAATGTTACAACTCCAAGAGGTTTTCAATCGTTATTTCCCCTGTTATCCTTTGCATAGGTGGCTTCACTCGTTAGATTATCTAATATGATGTGTTTGTTGTATATGATACAAGACCATCTGCATAGGCCATTTTTTGCTTTTCATGTTGAAGTGTCGGCAGGGCGAATGTTTTTGTTTCAAGGCCCTTTAGTTCTTTGCTGCCTCTTCGATAGGTTGAAATTTGAGTGGGGTATGATAACCCCAGTGCCAATCCGTTTTACAATGCTATTCTATTTACAAGTTCTATTATGTGATGCTCTTCGGACAATGAACTGTGACTGAAAGCCCCAAAACTAGATTTAGTCGTATAATTTGTTCCTCTTGGCGAGCTTATGCAAAAGCAGTTCCTGACCAAAGAGTGATATAATCTAGTCATGGCTTTGATATCTCACAGAATGTTTACCAAATAGTATGTGTCAACTGAGAGAACCCTCATTGTGTTTTCATTCATTCCTTAAGTTTCGCCTGTAATGCTTTACATCCATTTTTCAAGTGAGTGATTGCTGTGAGTTTTATTGCTTATACGTTCACTTGGAAATCCTCTTCCACTTGATCCAGGATTTTTCTTTAAGGTGTCCACTTATCCAAGGCCATGCCAATTTCGATTCCATAGATGCTGATCCAGCTGCTGCTATGCGTTATACAGAATGAAGGCTGCAAGTATGTCCTTACTTTCCTTATCGGTAGATTTGTGTCCAACCGTATTTGTTAGATTCAACTATGTTAGCAGCTGGCACAATTATTTTCTATGACTATCTTTCTATAGTGCTATCACAAGTTGAAATCAATTTGTGGACCTTGCTCACTCGCAATTCCAGAATTTCTGAAATTTCTGAAATAACTAATTCTTTCAACTATTAGAAGCATTATTTTATGCCATATGGTTGTAAGTTCTGCATATTCCATTGTAGGCATTAGCAGAGGCAGTTTTGCTGGCTGATCTGGAACAAGATACGGTAAGAGCTTGTCTTATTCTTAGGTGCTCAGAAAATTGTTGACGTGCTCCTTTTTCTTTAACAAATTAGCAGGTTAATTTTGTGCCCAATTTTGATAATTCCCAAAAAGAACCCTCACTTTTTCCTGCTCGTCTTCCAACTTTGTTATTGAATGGCTCTTCTGGATTACGGTAACTTAGCTATATTTCTGTTTCTAGCGCAGTGGTTATTCAGAGGCATCTACTTGTTATTGATAGTAGCTTTTCACATTTGCTAGGTTGGCATGGCAACCAATATTCCTCCCCATAACCTCGGAGAGCTGGTCAATGTCCTATGCACTTTAATTCACAACCCAGAAGCCACTGTAAGTACGAGTTAGATGCATTATTTTTTCGGAAATATCCATTCCTACAGGAAGCATTGGACTAGCCATAATGTGTCGAGTTCCAATAAACCTTTATCTCACCTCCCACTTTACTAATTAAAGGAGACCGAAAGAATCAACGTACTTCCTAGTACAGATTCAGTGGATCATTATGGAATGTCCTTTGTCATGCTGAATCTGCTGATGTGAACCTGAAAAATTCTTGGTTATATTTCTGAGTGGAGATGCATTTTGTTGATGGATAACGACTAAACTTTGAGTTGTTGTGCTTCTACTCTCTTGTGATGTGAGTGTATGGGGTCTAGGCGGAAAGTTCCTTTTCTAGGGAAGGGCATCTTCCTGGAAGGTTGTTTTGGTAAAATTCTTCTTTGTATCAGGAGATGGGAGCCTTGGTTATGTCTTGTGTACTTATTGAACAAGTTTCTGGATTTAAACAGCCAGCGATCCTCATAACTGAGAGGAGATGGTGGGCAAATTTTGAGATGATGTTTCATTGTTCAGTTTTGTGTACGTTGATATAGCGGGGAGATAAGAAAGTGATCCCTTCCTCTTAAGAGTGCTGAGAATATGTAAGGATTGTGTCAATTTGGTTGCTTATTTGGAAAATTGATTATCATGAGCTTGATGCTTTCTAGTTGTTTAGTCTGATTGTAGATGCTGGTTATCTAAATTGTTTAGTCTGATCGTAGAGGATAATATATTGTTTGTACAGAAAGGTGCCCACTAAATTGTTGCTATTCTATTTCCAACTTCAGCATATAATAGTTCCTTCCTGTTCATTCAGCTTACCATCTCTGTTCCTTTGACAGTTGCAAGAACTCTTGGAGTACATGCCAGGGCCTGATTTTGCCTACTGGAGGTCTAATTATGGGAAATCTAGGGTATGAGGAAGTGTAATTCTGACTTTGTGCTTTCAAGCATTGACTCAAATCATTACCCTTGCTTCTTCTTCTTTTGCTGCTAGAGAGATCCCCCTAGAATTTCTTACTATAGTATGCATGGGATTTTTATTCCTAATGTGGTATCTTCTAAGCATAGTGTAGGTAATCATGTTTAGTTTCGTTGAGGAATGAGTAGTATAAAATGTGTGGGTACTGATATATTTTATTTTTATTATTGTGTCTGCCCGCTCTGTTCCACAATACACCAGAAAGTTAAGAGTTTGTTAACATGCTTTATACATCGTCATCTGTGTGCCGTGAGGGAAAGAGAGATGCCAAGAAGGGTAATCTGAAAGAGATCTTAAGCTCTTGTTATTATAGCCTGACCTTTGATAAACTTCTGATTTGTGAGGCTAGAAACTGATGTATTCCTTTGTCATTTGAATTTACAGAGTATAGATGGCGTAACTGATATCCGTGATGAAAGTGATCGTACTGGTATGCGTATTGTGATCGAGGTATAATAAATATTTGCTAAGAGTGTACTTTAAGGAAAAAAGTGCTTCACTTCAATTTGCAGCTGAAACGTGGAGCAAAACCAGCGCTTGTTTTGAATAAACTTTATCGTCTAACTCAACTTCAATCTAGTTTTACCCGCAACATGGTTGGGTGAGTAGTTTCATTGTCTTAAAGTGGTTCACATGAAATCTGGTGGTTCTTATTCTGTTTGCCTTTTAACTTCAACTGGTTAAACCCATTAAGTGCGTAAAGGATTGTTTGAGAGTTGAGACTGGACGTCATTCTTTTTATGCAATGTCATTAGCTAATGACCATTTCACGTGTTCTGCATAGTGAAATGTATTATATGGGTTGACCCTAACTTAGTTTGGAACTAGTGCATTTTTTTCTTGCAAAGGGGTTGTCAGGTCATGGAACTGGATATAAAAATCTGCTTTAATACTTTTGAACTTCTCAATCTCTCTTAGGTCACCCTTCGTTTATGGAGGAGAGAGAGTAATGAGTTTGAGCATGTTTTAATATATGGAAGAGCATGGTGAGTTTAATTTTAGTTGATTTAAATGGGTGGTCGCTCCAGCATGTTTTTTTGTGGGTGTACATTTTTTTTTGTCTAACAAGCTGCTTAATATACTCATGATTGGTGTTCTGGCACAGTATTCTGGATGGACAACCTAAACTGATGGGACTGAAAGAATTGCTTCAGGTGATTTCTCGCGCATAGTTTCATTGGAGAAGTCGATGCTCTTCTCACGCATGTTTTATGCATTACCAGTTTCAGAAAATATTGTGGGTGTAAACCTAATCTTGTTTTGCCCTTGCCAGACATTTTTAGACGTTAGATGCTCTGTTGTTGAGCGACGTGCGCGGTTCAAACTTTCACAAGCTCAAGAGAAGAGACACATTGTTGAGGTATGCTAGGTGATTGCCTTGTTAGTTAAACCATGGTATGTCATGGAATATACTACTAAGTGCTTCTTTATTAGCCAACTCAAGATGTCTACCTGTGCTTGTGTTTGATCTAGTTTCTTTATGTGGAAGAGTGATTTTCAGGAAAGATATTCAATTGATTCACTTGCATTATTCCGCTCTTCACTTATACGCTTCTAGGGGTTGATGGACTTAATAGTGTCGTTTCTTCTCAGGGTATCGTGGTGGGCCTTGATAATTTGGATCACATTATTCAAATCATTAAGGAAGCTTCCAGCAATGCAGCTGCATCGACTAGTCTAATGAATGGTATGCTATGTTTTGTTTTAAGATCAGGAACTTATTTGACTTTTATTCCTACTGCTGCCTTAAACTTCCAGTCATTGAGTTTCTGAATTTTACTGAGTTATATTTTAAGTTCCATTTGTGTTATGTTTTTATATAAACAGAAGTGACAACTTGTCTGTGAGTTTTGATTCAGTTGTCATATGATTGTTTGCTGTCCTTCTTGGTTAGGACTTTGGAGCTTTTTTCTTCTTACTGTTGGGGACTTATTGGGTAAAGAGGAGGAGAAAAGGTTTAAGCATATTATTTAAACTGGATTATGGTTCGTGAAATGTTTTCTGGAGCCTTTGACTGTCCCAAGTTTTTGCACATTGTTTTATTCCAGGATCTTCTTTTTCATTTACCCTTTCTTTGATTACTGGTGAACTTTAGTTTCGTGCTACAGTGAAGACTAGTTATTTTGACTTCAAATTAGACGGTATAATATCATCTACAGCTTGGATAAGTTGAAGGGTTGTGCTGACTGAACTGACCTGATATATCGGTATAGCTTATATGTATGTTTTAAATGACTGAAGGTGTCGATATATGTATACTTCAGACGGCATGATGTTGTTCTCAGAATGAAATTGTATGTTGTCATAAATCTCTTCTGTTTGTTCATGAGGTTATGTCATTTGATGTGGTACCACTTGCATTACTTACTTGACCATGTTAAATCTTTACCAAGAAGTATGGGTAATTGATCTTTTCTTTCTTTTTTTATTTATTTGTTTTCTTCTCCTACAGAATTCAATATTTCAAGTAAGCAAGCAGAAGCTATATTAGATATAAGCCTCCGAAGGCTCATCCATATGGAGGTGGATAAATGATGCTTTGTTTGTATAGTTATATTTGTCTTAAAATAAGATATTTTAGTGATCATCTGAAGGCAAATTACACCTTTTTGTGCAGAGAAGTAAATATGTAGATGAAAAGAAATCTCTAACAGAACAAATCTCAAAATTAGAAGAACTACTAGCAAGCAAGGGGAAGATGCTACAGGTCATACTCCAATTTTTCCAGCTTTTATTCTGCCCATTATTAGTTTCTCTGGTAAAGAAGTATTATTGAACCTCCTATAAACCCTCTGTGTTCTATGCGCCAGCTGATAGAACAAGAAGCTGTTGAGCTCAAGCACAAATTTTCAAACCCAAGGCGCTCTATTTTGGAATATTCGGATGACGGTCAGCTTGAAGATATAAATGCTATTCCAAATGAAGAAATTCTGTTGGTTTGTGACATTATGAATCCTTCATTTTCTTGATTTCTTACTCTCTTTTGAATGAACTCATTTTAGACATCAATAATAGAACTTGTACTTTTTTTAATAGTAGAACTTGTACTTGGATTTACTGCATGATGCGTGTGTGTGTGTGTTGTTTTGATTGGGTTCCAGCAGAAATGACTTTATTCTTAAGTATCCTTGTTTGTGACTTTCAGGCTATTAGCGAAAAGGGTTATGTTAATCGGATGAAGCCCAACACCTTTAATCTGCAGAAACGTGGAACCATTGGCAAATCTGTCGGAAAATTGAGAGTCAATAATGCAATGTCAGATTTTATGGTCTGTCGATCACATGACCACATTCTTTATTTGAGGTAATCACTCCATGGTGTTTATCATGCTTTATATGAATATCTTCAGTTGAGTTCGCTAATGTGAATGTTTGGTACATATAGTTAAACATTGCTTGTTGCATTGAGTTTTAGTCTCTGGCTAAAAGAGGGAGTCTTATAAGTTCTGCTGGCCTAATGTATGTTCTATATTATTCACATAATTCTTTGTAAGGATATGTCTTCTGTTTCTCATGTTTAATCGACCCATTTACTGCACTCAACAACTAGATACTCTCATCATGCGTTCAGTAAATCTCAAGTTGTTGTTATGGTGACTCATTGACTTTACTTTGTGATTACTTGTTTCTGCTTAGTCCTTAGGTTGTTGTCTGGCTCTTACAGCAGTTCAATCCCTAAGCACATATTTACTGGCAATATTCATCTGAAATTGTTGGTTTTGTTCCGAAAACACAACTCATGATGCCCTGAACTCATGTCAGTTTTCAGAGGAAGAGTGGCATTTGGCAGCAGTCTTTGTGGTTGGTTTCTCACTAACAGGTATGCAGTTGATTCAGAGGTCAATGCTCATGGAAAGCATGCTCTTATCTTATGCTTTGTATGTCTATGGTAACCCATCTGAACAGTATTCTGAGTCTTTGCCTCTTCTTCTTTTTCCTATTCTATGGGTACAGAGGACTTTGAGAGTGATGAACAAGTAGTTCTAGTAAGTCAAAGTGGCACCGTCAATAGAATCAAAGTTCGTGATATTTCAATCCAGTCACGCTATGCAAGGTAAATTATGTGATACGAGTGGACCTAGACTATACTAGTCTCTGCCTAGCAATGTTGTTGTGAGTTTATGGCAAGTGGTTT